TAAAAAGTTGGAATCAAATCAGTTTTGAATATCGACAGAAGGAAATCCTTTCGTGGCTTCCCATCCTTCTTCCGGCGAGCGTTTTATTTCGATTATTTGGAAAAGGAAAGAAAGGAAGGAGAGATTTGAAATACATCGCGACAAAGGATCGCGTTTCTTCCTCTTTCAAATTTATTCCCTGTTATTTTTATTTCCAAATATTCCGAGATTCCTCGTTCGATGTATTCCACGAGGGGAGGGGAAAAGAAGAAAAAAATTAATAATCCGTTTCTTGCGATCAGAAACAATCGAGAATAGATGGAAACGACCACCCTCGCGGCCAACTTTCAGGATCACGGTCTGAGAATCTGGTTCCGGAAGAAAGTTTCGAGTCGAGGGAAACTTTTACGAGTTTAATATAAATTTGAGAAAAGAACCGCGAAAAGGAAGAACGAGGACGAGATTCGATTAGCGTATCACGATCGACTCGACTTGTTTCAACTTTTCCTCGAACGTTCCTCGAAGAAAATTGGGAAATAATTGGCATGTCCTCTTCGATCTCATCCAGTTTTCCTTTCTTCTCTCGCGTTAAATAACCCCGTTAAATAATTTGCTTCATCATTTGATCCCCGAGGCGTTCCGCGTTTACGCGCCAAGAAACTTGGAGATCTGGTTGCCAACCCTGGATGATAATCTACGTCGAAAGGGGAGGAACTCATTAATATCCGCCGTTTAATATTTTTTGGCAAACGTCCAAATTTATCTCGAGATTATGACTGGAGAAGAGTATGCTCGATGCGTGGCACGTCAGTAAACCAACGTCCCCCCGGATATTAACTGGAAACTGTGTTACGCGATACTGCGAATTTTGAAACTTTGTTGTTCGCACCGATTTACACGACGAAGTAACTTGCCCTTAATCCGTCATTGAGAGCTAACCGTTTTATCGATGAAAACAGTTTTCAACAATTTCAACGGTTTCCAGAGTGGAAAGCTCGCGCGGATCAGACGCGTTTCAAATATTTATAAGGCGGTGAATGAATGAGAATTGCAAGTTCCACCACCTTTAAAACATTCTTACTTAATGTCGCGAGCATTAGGGCATCGTTACTTACGGAAGAAATACACGAGGAAGCTTTGAAACTAGGTCACCAAGGTTATACAGGGGTATTACCAGCGAGTAAAGAAAATTGAAAAATGCCCATCCACTGCTCGAGACTCTTTGAAACTACTTTAGAGCAGCGAGAAGAATTTGGGAAGAGGAACCGAGGAAAATTGAATTAAGAATTCAAAGGTTGGACGACGATTCCTTCTTCTCCATTATATATCCATCCCTTTTCCTTAATACCGAATCACGGATTACATCGCACGTACGTTTCACTTTTACTTATCGACATTAATATCCATTCTCGACCGAAAGAAATCGGAGATCCGAGTCAAAATGTTACATAAACCTATTCTTCTTCCCTCCACCTCCGTAACATCGACGAGTCCTCGAGTCTCTCTCTTCCTCGAGAGACGGGATACGCCCCAAATAAAAAGGGGAGCCAATGGTGGTGGGCCGAAGGAGGGGTCCCACGCGAAATTAAAATATCCTTGGGTCGTAATGATTCGGGGCACGGGTGGTAACAAAGTACGCTGCGTCTCTAACTTTTTGTTTGCGATACGTTCGATGTTTCGAAACGAAGGGTGGCACGGGTCCAACCCCTCGCAAGAAGGGTGCGGATCCAACCCTTGGAAATCAGCCGGACATATGCTGGGACAGAGAGAGACACGCGTATTGTATTATTCACGAGCGGCTCGTGATACAACCTTACCCTCGATTTTTAATACCGGGACAGTTCCGGCCTCCTCCTCGCCTTGGTAACATCGTAATGGGATTAGTCGCGTTATTAGAGGTTTGAAATCAAGGGTTTATACTCTCTCTCTCTCTCTCTCTCT